AATTCTTCCAGTTCTAAAGCATGGATATAGTTCCACTACATTTTGTCTTCACTTTTTTCTAATATTGTCTTTTAATTTCTTAATTATTTTTTTCCTTCTTTGGTTACATTTTTCCCAAGGTATTTTACTTTTTTCCCTTTTTGGGTCACACCCAGTGATACTGTGGGGTTACTCCTGGTTCTACACTCAGGAATCACTCCTGGAAGTACTGGGGGACCATATGGAATGCTGGGGATCAAACCCTGGTTGGCCACATGCAAGGCAAATGCATTACCCACTGTACTATCACTTTAGCCCCAGTATTTCACTATTTTTATGTAAGTGTAAATATATAACACAGTGATAGGGTGTTTGCCTTGTACCCAGCTGGGCCAGCCAAACCAGGTTTGATTCCTCTGCCCCTCTCAGAGAGCCCGGCAAGCTACTGAGAGTATCTCACCCACAGGGCAAAGCCTGGCAAGCTACCCATGATGTATTTGATATGCCAAACACAGTAACAACAAGTCTCACAATGGAGATGTTACTGGGTCCACTTGAGCAAATCGAATAATGGGAGGACAGTGCTACAGTGCTACCACTGATTTCTAGAAAAACAGTATATTCCTTTGAGATTTCTTTCAGTAGTCTGTAGTTTATGCAGTTGTGAACCAGTGACTTAGTTACCATTTCACTTTCTATTCTTCAAATTGAATATTATTATATAAGTATATTGTAAGAGTGTATGTGATTGTGTGTTTAAAATATATAAATACACGGATCTGTAGATCTATGTGCATATATATGTGCATATATTTGGTTATGCATACATATAAAGTTACAGAATTGTGTAGAATTGTATTCATACAATTGTAAATTTTATAAATTAGAACTGCTCATGGTACTGTATTTGATTTATACAAATAAAGAAATGCAAACCTGACCATTAGCAACATAGATTTAATTATAAATATTAGAAAGCATGTCTTAAAGCAGTAATCATTATAATTCTTATATTCCTATCTCATATTAAGTAAAGATAGAATTTAAATTAGTGGGAATTATTCTACCATTTAGTAATATTCATTATAATAATGATATTGCTATTATCTTTGAAGTCTATAATGAAACTGCAGTATGTATCCTTAAAAAATTCAGTGATAGCATGAAGACAACAGAACCTGTATTTTACATATGAAAACTGGATTTTAATTCTAAGATCAAAAAACTATAGCCGAACCACCACAAATACAAGTCTTGGCTACCACAATCACATTCCATTTCTGCATCACTCTGCCAGCATTTTTTCCAGTTCATGCACTTGTTCACAAAGTATTTCAAGATTATATGCATGAGTGTGCTTTGATGAAAGTGGCATTAAAAGAACCCTTAATAGACATATTATGCATAAATCCTGAAAATAGATTTATTATGCTTGAAATGTGTCTGTTCCTTCCTTCTTACCCCAACTCACTATACTTCATCTTTATTTCTCAGCCTTGTCACACAATAAGATACCAAACGCCCTGGCATTTTTAATGATACTATATTAACTCTGTTAATGTTGAATTTGGAAACTACACTCTGATTTTATTGCTAGTATCTAAAAACAATGTAAAACATGTTTCAGGAGATTAATATAGACTAGTCGGTCTTAGCAGTTCCTAAACAGAAAATTTCATATTTAAAATAAATTAAGATAATATAGTAAAGAATACTTTAACTGTGGAAAGAAAATAAACTTCCAAATGTGGATTTTGGATGTCTTATTTTGAAAAATTAGTTTGATTATCATTTTTTTCTCTTTCTAAGGAAAAGTGGTATTTACTGGATTAGAATTTAATGTATTCATGGAAGATAAGTTCAGTCAATATTTTTGTTATTTACATTGTAATAAAACTTAATTTTGAAAGAGTAATTTTAGGAGAGTATGGTTCTGTATCTTGAGCCATTTGTAAATGAAGACTTCATTATAAATAGACTTCTATAATTAAAAAAAATCTACTGAAAGGAAATTTTAACAACATCTTTGTACTCGATCACCACTGTTTAAAGTCTGTCTACTCTTAAACCCATTTTTGCCTAAAAAGTGTAACACAGAAAAGTACTGCCAGAAACACCTCAGATTAATTATATAATTGATTTGAAATTAAATTTTTATTGTTGCATAAAAAGAAAACTTACTGTGTCAGTACTTTCCACAGTTACCGCATATAGAGTTTATAGGTTTAAAAATCTGGTATTACATAAATGGGGGAAAGGTAAACTTTATGGTATATGTCAAGTTCTTCGAGTTCTGGAATATTTCTTGTTTTGTAAGTTTTTCCATTATTGCTTCAGATAACCCTGTGGTATGCTCATTACATGCTTGTTTTTTGGTGAAAGTATATACAACATAGCTAGAAATATAATTTATAGATTATATGCACTCAACTGGTTGTCATTACTGAAATTTATATTTCTTAAAAACTGAACAAAAATTGCCTGATAAAAAAATAATGAATTTACCAGCTAAATGTTGCCGTGTGAATTAAAGCAATTTCCAGATAACTCATTTTCTTTAGTCACTGGTCTGCCAGGTCAGTTGCAGGCTAGACTTAAATTCAGTGCAATAAATTTTCCTCTAACGTTTGTTTCACCAGTCTGACCTGATTCTCTCTTGACTGGTTGGTTTTGCATGATATCCAAGTAAGATTAAATGGGCTCGACTTGCAGAATGCTGAGATGGGCACACACACAGACATGTATATGTCCACTCCACATCATACTCTCCTTCACCTTAAAGGCAGGGGAAATTCCTCCCGTTTTGGCACCGGGAACTCAGGACAGGAATCACACAGACTTTGAAGGTTGTTAATGAGAAAGGAAGGCAACACAGAAAGCTTTGAGAAAGCCTGTTTGTGGCCAAAAACAACAGCAGGTATAGCCATATGGCAATCAAATTAGAAAAGGGATTCTTGCCACATCGCCTTCCAGAACACAGGCAAGCCCAAGCAGCGCTCAGAGACACATGATTTACTCAAGATAGTTCTAAGTATTCTGTATTCCCTCTCTTATCATTTAATCTTGAAGGCACTATAAATCTATTTTACCAAATCAGTAGTGAAAAATTTTCTTAAAAAACAGAAAATATCTTCTAAAGTGTTTCCATTTCCACGTTTAGGACTACTATGTCAAAAACCATGATTATATCCAAATTTAAAAAAATAGAAGTAAAACCTTATTTTTCTTATGGTTTTGGTTTTGGTCTTGGTTTTGGTTTTGGTACACACCTGGTGATATGTGCAAAGGCAGTACATTACCAGCTGTACTATTCTCAGGATGCCACAAAAGTCAAACCTTTAAGGTTTAAATGTGATACCATATTTTAGCAACAATTCGGTGACATTATTGAACATTTTTAACTTTGTACCCTGTTTTAAAAACTTAGAAATATAGTAATTACAATTCATTGCATAAAATATCTTTAACCTCTATATTAACGTATTTTATTTTTAGGAGCTACTTTTCGTCTTCCATTGAGAAGTTTAAGTCATGTTAAAACACTATGATTGCTCTTTTTTTGTTTTTAGATGAATATATTTTGTTTAGTTCTGAAAATGAATTTTCTTTTAGCAATCTCCAGAAATGTGTTTTATTTCTCTGATTAGTTCACAAAAACTTATTTGACATACAATGAACAGAGGGTATATTATTGATAGTCTTATAACATGTTGCTATAGATTTTGCAATATACTAGGACTCTGTGTTTTTGTGTGTGTGTGCATGAAAAAGGATAACCAGTTACTTAAACTAATGACCAATAAGACCTGATTGCTTCCGTAATCATTCTCTCCAATAGGAATTTACAGAAAAGAAAATTTCAAAAGCTAGTTATATTAAATCTGTTATTAGTTTACCACTTCATTCTCAGATGTCATTAAAATTATTAAAATAAAATGAGTGGAAATAAAATCATTCAAATCACCTTTCCTACTGACATACAGAAATCCACTATTTAAAAATGATTTTATCATATAAATAGAAAACATTTTATTTACTCATGTATCATGAGATGGTCTTTATAAATGTCTTTTGTAATAACCTTTCTGGTATTAATTAGGTTAAGTATGATTTTAACAATCAGATGTAATTGAAAAACTAGCATTTGCAAATTTAGACCTCTTAATGAACCACTCTCATACAAAGATCACTGAGAATATTTTATTTTACAACTTTACCTTAAATAGCAAAATGGCAAATAATTCAAGATATGATTTTTAACATCGAATGTAATTTGTTCAAAATTTACATTAATTTTTCTCATAACTAGTCACTTTCACTTTATCTTCCTGTCATACTAAAGAATGAAAGTGTAATTTCACAGAGGCTTTCAGAATTGGGGGAGAGTATTAAATGTAGCTGAAATTAAGTGATTAATAATTTACTTTTGGGTCATGAATCAACTTCATAGGATGCTAGGGATCATTCGCAACCCCAAAATCAGTAGTAGTAACAATGCACTTTTTAAGACTCCAGAACTCTCAGAGGTTGATTGCCCAACCTAATTAAACTTCAATCTTTTGATATACCAAATGTATTTCTTCTTTGTACTGAATTTCCTCTGATCTTCTTGACAGGAAAATGTCACTTTGCCTGACAGATGATAGACAGGTTATGTAGCACCATAATTGGAAAGAAAGTGATAGCTTAAAGCTACTCGATTTAATGGCTTGTGTGTATGGCTCTTTTCTTCCTTTATTCCTTTTCTCTCCCTCTCTTTTTTTTTAAGGTTTCTATGACAGACACAAAAGGCCCAGTGCCATTTTCCTCTGCTTTCTCTAGGGGTAATTATCTTACTCCATCAATAGCGCTGTCAGAAATTGGGCACATAATTCAGCATTTAAATGAAAAAGCAATGTAATATTTCCTGTCTCCCAGTGGAATGCTTTGCACATTACATTTTTCTCTGTCACTTCTTTACTCTTGATATATGTCCTATGCCCAGTCCTTGAATACCTTCTCTCCCTTGTGTTTCATTGCAGATGTTGGCTCCGACTTGACACCTACTTCATTTGGAGTTTTATAGGACCAGCGACCTTGATAATTATGGTACGAACACCTAATTAACTATGCATTTCCTGGGTCAAGAAATAAAACTTTGACTACTTCTGTGTTATCTTTAATTTACATAGATTACATTTTGGAAAGCATGTACTTGTTTGACCCTACATAAATCAAGTAATTAGACACTCATTATAGTCTACTTTTAAATTGTATAATACTTAGTCAAAACATTGAGGAAATACATTTGCAAGAGTCAATGCAGTGCTATGACTATTCAGAAACTCAGTCTAATATAAATCATTGGGTTTTGTTAGTTTTTGAACAGTAATGTCTACATTTGACAAGAAAACAGAATTCCTTGCTTTTCCGTTTGAATAATATGACATTTGAAAAAAAATCAGAAAATAAAAAACTGATAAGTACCTTATTGGTTCTTCTAGCATTTTTTTATGTCTTGATTTCTTTAAATTTAATTGAGAGTGGCACAACGAAAAAAAAAGTCTTGAATCACACTTAGTTCTTTTAGATGCATGATACCTTAATTCAGATATGAATCGCTTATAATGACATGTAATTATGTATAGCTATATGCTTATTTTAAAATGCAAAGCCGCTATTCCTTTCTTAAATGAAAACCTTTTGATTTTGAACAAAAATGCAAGTTTATAATTAATTTTCTTAAATTTCTTGAGGCCAATATATTTTACAACCCATTGGTTTTCACACTTCAGATAGTAAAGTATATACTGCACTGCATATAATATTCATAGTGGGGAATGATCAGTAGATCAATATTATTGAACCAATATTAACAGTCAAGATTATTTTCTGAATAATTAATAATTCTCTAGAAAAAATTTAGTTTAAAAGCAGAGGATAGTTTTATATGTGTGTATATGTGTGGGTATATATATATATGTGGGTATATATATGTATATGTGTGGGTATATATATATATATATGTATATATATATGTCCAAATCAATCATACTTTCCCACTGAATATGTCAGTTTGGGTCAGACATTTTTGCTCTCCAGTGTTTTTTTTTTAAACTTTCAACATTTTATTCACTTTGGATTTGATAAAATGTTGTATTGTAGAGAGAACTTCAATGGAATGTATTTTGAAGCTTTCTAGTCCCTCCATGCTACAAATTCAATAATATATAAACAAATAAATGATAAAGAGCAATTTGTTATATGAATCTCTATATAGTTTATGTGTTTGTCATATATGGGATTCATAGTAGATATTTTTGTTTTATTTTAAGCTCTATGCTCTCTCTGATTCCATTGACACATTAATAAAATTGAAGTTTCCTTTCACTTTCATTTAGTGTAGCAGATTCTGTTTTGTCAAAACATCAACACTTAATCAACATTTTATAGTAGTGTATCTTAGTATTCTTCCTTTGTAAAAATTTTATTTGAAAAGCAATTCCCAAGAAATAATTTCGCAGCTATGTTTAGAGGATGGAAATAATCACACAACTGGAATAGCTATTGTTTATTTATTTATGAGCTCCTTTGTTTTTAACATATACTTCAAGCAATTTAACGGTGTCCACATAATTCTAGTACTTGTTAAATTTGTATTTTATGTACTTAGCCTAATGGTATTTAGTAACTTTTTGATATCCCAATTCCCCCAAACTGGCTTCTTATCTTTACTAAAATATTAGACAACCATCTATGATCTAATTCCTTAAAAAGTATAACGAAAGCTAATCTCTAGAGCAGCATATTCTCCATAGATAATAGACTTAACTTTTATTTTGTAGTTATCCTATATAACAGTACCTTTTGTATTTCAGCTTAATGTAATCTTCCTTGGGATTGCTTTATATAAAATGTTTCATCATACTGCCATTCTGAAACCTGAATCAGGCTGCCTTGATAATATCAAGTAAGTGATTTTTCTTTTGGTACTGCCTTGGTATTTAAAGCTAACCTATTTTTATTTGCATTAAAATATTATGATAAAATAGTAATGATCAAACATTTTTTCTAATTAAGAACATTTATGAACTATTGATAGAATTTGATTTACTGAAACTCTTTCTCTGGAGAAACTTTTCCTCCTAAAGTCTGATTTCCAAATTCATACGTAATTTAATATGTTTTTGCTTATTTTGTCCTCAAAGCAAATAACAAGTCTCTGGTCCAGTAATTTCTTAGAGTAATAACAATGTCAGTTACCCATGTCCCTATACTCCATTCCTCCTTTTAGAACAATGTGGAGAGAGCCAGATGATGGTCTCACAAAAATCAAAACTTGGGGTTTTTATCCCTAGAGTAAAGTTCCTAAATTATTAATCTCTTGTTTATATAGGAACTATTACACTGGTCTTTTTATCCTCCTTGTGAGGGGAATAAAAATTCTTGCTCCCTAATACAAAATCCTATGGACTCCAAGTATGTAGTTCCAGGTTTAAATGTTTACCTATTTGAAGGTAAAGATACTCAAAAAAACTCTCAGTATTTCATTGTAATTCATCTTCCAGGTTTTGTCCTTTATCCCCAACTCCTTTTCTCCATGCTCAAAAAACCCTTTTTATGGAGAGATATGAAAATTTTTACAGTTCTCTCCACGCAAATACTAATTTGTTTGTAGGCAAACAATGTATACTAAATTTGTACTTTATAAAAACAATATTTTATAAGTACAATCAGAAATGTGTACCTGGTTCCTTTAAAGATACTTGATATAGTATTGCAGAGCTATACTTAATTACTAATGTATGTTATGCATTTAGTTCCTTTATATGTGATTTTTGTGTACTGCATGTTTAACTTGGTTAAATGTTGATATTTAATGAAGATGAAGACACTTCTGAAGTCTCATGAGGTCACATGTGACTTTCATGTGCAATAGACATTATCCTTGAACTGCTACAGAGAAGCTATGTCACCCATCTTCCATCTTTCTACATTTAACGCCTGATATGGTTCCCCACCCATAATAGGTCCTCAGTGAATGCTTTTAGGAAATAGTAATGGATTAAACATTTTAGTGACGAGTGTGTATTGAAATCAAGTGGTTAATTTTAGTGAAGTAACCATTTTTTTGAATTAATTGAAAAAGACAGTGAAGGAGTTAGAAAATATTAATAGTGTAGTGGCATAAACTAGGAATTAACTACTGCGAGCAATAGTCTTTTATAGTTCTTAATATTACTTAGTTTAGATAACTCATACTGGGTGAAGTACAATTATATGATCTTTGTAAATTTTAGTGTTGGTTCCTTAAATGCTTTGTTTCCTATGTAACTGAATTTAAATAAATTTAAAAAGCAGATAAAATGTGTTTATCATATCAATTTTTCTCACTTTAGCATAAATTTCATCTCCGCTTCTCTTCTGTAAAAGTGCGAGCATTACATAGCATGTACATTATAGCTTTGAAATATATCAGAAATAGAGAATAATACTTTGGTCCTTATGTCTAAAAGCCTTTATTAGGTTTAAAATTTGAAAAAAATATTTAGTATTTAGCATAGTCACCTATTCTTAACATCTGTTTATTCTCCCCTTGTTTATTTAGGTAACACTGGTTGAATATGATGTTATTATTTTTAAAAAAGCATATAAGCAAATAATTACATTTAATGACAGTGATGACATCAAGCTTTGCATGATAAGTCAAAGAAAAATCTTTAAAGAAAGCTTCTGCATTAGACATATTCTCTAATTTCATGTGTAGTTTATAGCTTTTGAAAATTGTTTAAAGATTAACAAACCTTCCTATTCTCTTTAAAATGGGTATAATAATTAAACATATATAACTATTAAATTAGCAGGGGGATATCAACAATTTTTGATGACTTTTAAAGTATTCAATAAAACAAGGAGGGGGATTATATGTTTTTTTTTTTAGGAAGTGCATAAAGGGTGATTATCAGATGGGTGACGCATGAATGTGAATAAGCTCATAGGAAAGAACCCAAGACAGAGATATTGGAATTACTAGAAAGGAAATCATTATTATTATAACTGTGACCTAGGACAGTATAAAGAATGTGATCTCAGACTACAGTAGAATAATTCACTTTATCAGGTTCCATCAAGGACAATTTTCAACCAAGTTTACGGAATCCAGAAGGAAGGGCCATTTTTATATTGCTATGAAATGAAATAGATAAGAATAGCGTGATGCAGGCACATTGTAGAACGGATACACTGCAGAAGGTCCATGTGCTCACTTAGGGTAGAACTCACGAGAGGTGATATAGTGCAAGAACTAGGCTTTACTTAAAGGATTCAGCCAGTCAAAAGTAAGAGAGCACAGAGGGTGGGACCCCAGCTCACTCACTGGCAAGTCTCACTGAATTTATATTAGGAAGCTTTTGCAACTTCCTGAGGTTCCAAGATACTTAACGAAGCCAGTGTCTTTTGGAAAAAACACATTACGTCATATATCAAATATGCGTTATTGTTCTTTCAAATAGAATGACCCCTTTCTCTAAAATGTGGTTGCAGGGTCCAAGAGATGGTAGAGACATTTAGACATATGCCTGTATATATGACCCTGGTTCGATCCCCAGCACCATGTTATCACCTGAGCATTGCCCAGGTACAAGCCCTGGAAACCTCTGAGCATCTTGCAGGGTGGTCTTGGTTATAGGTTCTGCAGGGCTCTCCACCACTTTATCCTCCGGCATTAGCACTTTATTGTCTGGCCATGTTGGCTGAGAATCACTTACAGTGGTTTTGGTGCTCCCTGAGGCATTTTAGGCAATTCCCACAAATAAAATTTTTATTGCTTCTCTCTCTGTTCATTACCTCTTTTTCCTCTGTCACCGCCATGGAGAACCTTCTGCAGGGCCAATGCAGCATTCTCAAATTTCTTGCTGCATATTGATTCTTATTCCCACCTTCACTATCTAGAGTGATTACTTGAACAATTTAAATTTTATCATGCTGTTCTTTTGAGTAATGCTCTTCAAATAGCTTCCTGTTTCTCTTACACTAGGCCAAATCCCCTTGTATAATAGTATAATGCATTAAACTTTCCTGATCAGGTTTCTCCTTTTCATTTTTCAGCTTTTTGACTGACTATGTGCCTTCTGATCATTCTAGACGTATTCTCTTTTGCTTCAGGTCTCACCACTGCTATTTCTTCACTGACATTCTTTCAGTGACTCTATGCTTCACTGACTCTAATTTACCCTAATTAACTTAATTATTATTAAAAATAATTTTATTATGATTTAATTAAAAACTTACTTCATGGCCTTCATGATGAACAGATTTTGATCAGATAAAAGATTCATTTTGCTTGTTTTTTACTGTATTAATGATTTTTGGAAAATGATCATAGAGAGAATTACTACAGGTAATTTGGTTACAGGGAAAATGATAATTGGCAAAATGCATGTTGGTTCTCAAGCAAAAAATTATTAGGCTATAAAAGTATCAGGATATACTTTATTAGGCTATAAAAATATCAATATTAATAGCACTGCACTGCACTGTCCTCCTGTTCATCGATTTGCTCGAGCGGGCCCAGTAACATCTCCATTGTGAGTCTTTGTTGTTACTGTGTTTGGCATATCAAATACGTCATGGGTAGCTTGCAAGGCTTTGCTGTGCGGGCGGGATACTCTCAGTAGCTTGCCAGGCTCTCCGAGAGGGGTGGAGGAATCGAACCCGATTCGACCAGGCCAACCACGCACAACGCAAACGCCCTACTGCTGTGCTATCGCTCTAGCCCATCAATATTAATATAAAAATTAATATTGTCAGCTTTGTTTCTTCACCATCAAAATGGGTCATTATATTTGGAGGGTAAACTAAGTTCAGTCATTTGAACGTTCTGGTTGAGTTTCTGACAAGATGATATTGGAGGAAATTTGATGCTATTGATCACTGAAGTATTATGGCATGTAAAATTTTCATTCCTGAGTATTGTTTAGAACTCTTTTGATATTCATCCTCAAAATAAGTAATAATGGTGCCAAAGAGATAGCTGAAAGGAACAGCATACAGGCCTTGCATATGGAAGCCCTGAGTTTTGATGCCTAGGACCACGTGGCCATCTGAGCATCGCCAGAGAGCATGCTAGCATTACCACATCTGAGTGTTAACTTCAAGCCCACACAACTAGGTCAAGTGTCCTCAGGAGTACTCTCCAGTTTTTCTTAGCAACACTCCCCACCCTCTCCCAGCCCTCCAGAAAGAAAGATTGGATCTCGCCTGTAGGTATAAGATATTTTTATTATTAAAAACTCTAATTGTGTCAAAAGTACTTTGAAGAAAGAGATAAGAGGAGATAGAGATAGAGAGTAAGAGATAGAAGTTGGTGGTAGGGGCCACATAGGAAAGAAAATTTGTGCCTACAAGGAGGGGAAGGTTAGACTCTTTTTGACTCTCCTAACTTTGTCCCTTTTCTCTTTCCCAAGGACAGTCTTCTGCATGCAGGTTTATGATTTGTGGTCTGTCATTGTTTCAATGTCTTACCTCTGCCTTTACAGATGATAGGTTTCATAAGAATGGTGATTGGCAGTTTTATCAAGGCAAGGTCTTTATTGATTTTTCATTTTCTTTCCTTCTTCCTGTGGTCCATTGGTTAGGCGAATAATCGACTTCTTTACTATCAGACTTACACATATTTAAATTTCTGTTCAGTCCTCTAAGAGATGGCCTTCACCAGTCACACTATGACTCTCAGTCACCTCTTCCCTAGCATGGGCATAATTTTTATATCCTCTATAAAGTTTCAAAATTATCAGATGCCATCAAATGTGTCAACATATAAAATATAATCTGGTACCCTTTCAGGATGATTTGACTGTTTTTTCTCCATTCTGCGAAGAAGTACCATCCTGCTTTTGACTTTTGAGGATTTCATAGCAAAATTGATTCAAATCTCTTATTATAATCCTTTGAGTTCTGTTTATCATGCTA